ATATATAAAATCTTCAATAATAACAGAAAAACTTTATTATTCAAGAAGCACTTAACCTAACATTATAAATTCAAAATTGATTGAACAATCCAAATCAATCAATTCAATAAATTATTATTAAAGGGTTTTTTCTTGTCTTGCTTTTGGTTTATTTTTCATTTTTTCATTATTATCCTTTCATTTTCAAATTTTTTTATTTTGAAAAAAAAATTTATGCATTTTGTAATTTTTTATGCCCGTTAGCTTTTCGTTTACAAAATATTGTAATTTAAAATCAAGTTGCTTACTTCAAGACTACATTACTTACTAAGTACTCTTATCACTTTTTATTGTATAGTCGGCAGTAATTTGTTATTTTTAGAAAAGTATTATAAAAGTTCAATTTCATTTATAATAAATTGCAAATTTGATATTAAGAAAAATAATATGAGCTGGCAATATTATTATTCTTAAATAATTTCATTTCTATTATAGATATTACCTTGAATGTAGCCAAGAAATTGAACCCTTGAACTGAATATTGTAGAAATATTTAAAAACTCATTTCCGTTATTAAAATGGTTTTTAAATTTCAATAAGAGAACTGAAAATAAATGTATGACTACACTATTCCACAAGACGATTATTTAACTGGGAATGGTGTGATCTTACAGAGCTACTGATTCATGCAATTAAAAATTTTATTTATTACTTCATTTGTAATTTTATTATAAATTTACTTTTCGATTTATCTATCTAGCTATATCATATCTTATTGTTTATTTATTTTTGTTTTTTTTGCTTTTATAGTCAGTATATAAATATCCTGTTTCTCTTTATAAACAGTATTTCCATCATTTTATTTCATTTGTTGCTGGCGTTTGTTTGCTCATTTTTTGTTTTGTTTTTTATAAATAAATCGTGCAACATCATTGCAATTTTTACTCGATTTAAATCTCTGCAAAACTATAAAATATTTTTTGCTATTTTAAGTATAAATCTATAATATGTGTACATAAAATAATACAAATGTACATATAGCTGTATATAATCATATAGATAAAAAATAAAATTACAATTTCGGTTTCCATGTAACATTATATATGAAAGGATAAAAGAAAAAATTACAAGTAGCTGGCGTTCTGTTTTAAATTTTGCCTCTATTTTTTTTTAATTTTTTATTTTATGATTCCTTCACTTGTACATCGAACGATTATCTCATCCGTAAGATCATGAATTTTTGATTCAACTTCCATCAAGCATCAATTTCATAGTTGTTATAATATTACTTGAGAAATATAAGAGCAAATTTAAAATAACTAAAGTTGGATCGAACCAATGGTATGTAAAGTAGCACTCTTTGCTTCAACAAGACATAAAAACTACAGTTTCTAATAGCTTAGCCAGACATGCAATTTAATTTAAACTCAAAATAGTTTAGTTGCTACTGTTAAGTTATTGCGTTAATTCAAATCGATTACGTTAAACTAAAAATTTCAATTAATTTGTAAGAAATTACAAGCTGTTTGATTGCTTAATTACATACGACCCATACAGTTGCATGGCTGCCCGCTTGAACCTAAACCTATTGAATACAAATAAGAAATCAAACAATAGCAAAATTTAAAATTGCATGTCCACCTGAATACTAAATTATTTAAATTATTCATTGATATTCTAATTGTATATAAAATTTTTGCATACATTTAGGATGAGCAAAAAAGTGAAATTTGAAAGAAGCAATAACATATGAAAGAAACATTAACTTGCTTGTATTAACAACTTAAGGAAAAATAATTATATTTTTTGACGTCTAAAAAAGTTGAAGTTTTGAAAATTTAAAAAAGCTTACAGTTTTGAAAATATATAAGGTGCCGAAAATTCAAGTTTTACAAATTTCGAAAGGTGATGATGACTTTAAAGATAAAGAGGATCGAAATAGAAAAAAATTTTCTTCTAAAAAACTGAACTAAAGGTTGTAAAAATTTCTGACTTCTACAGCTTATCGTCTAAAGAAAAAACGATATCAAAAATTTGAAAAAAAAAATGGGTTACAGATAACGGTAAACTTTAACGACCACTTTGTTTTCTGTAAGTTCAACTAAGTTATGTCGCGACAGAAGAATTTCTCCGCCATATTTCTGTAAAAAAAATGAGATTTTAAAAATTTCTTTTACGGTAATAGGAAAGATCAATGTACATAATAAATTTGACATTTGCGTCATCAAGCGTGTAATAGTTTTGTAAATATGTCCACGGATGGACGAATGGACTGAATCAGACTAATAAGCACTTTTTTCAAAATTTTTTTAAAGGGCTAAAAATAAGTATAAAATCGGAACGAAATCGCTCAAAAAAATGAAAAAAAAAAATTGGTAAAGATATAAAGAAAGAAGAATAAAAATTATTCTTTCGAAAAAAAAATTAAAATAAAATGTTGGAGAATAACAAAATTTTGAAAAGGCCATAACAATAGTGAGTGAGTTAACAAAAGTAAAAAAAAAAAAGAAGAGAAAATAATGAAAATCTGTTGATCTTAAAAAGCTTTTCCGAATTTTATTGGCAGCTCGAGCAGAAAAATAAAATAAGGTTTATGTGCACTACATTTTACTTGCTTGGCTTTTTGAACTTGATTTTAGAAGAACTTTTAAAATATTACGAACTTTAAAAAATTATTATAACAAATTATATAATTTTATTATTTTTGTTGCACCTTTGTTTATGTAAGTCTAGATACATAAATTTCCTTCCTAACCTACTTACTCTTACTCTTAACGAACGAATTAATGTAAATTGTCATGGTATTTGTACACATACTTTGGTTCAACGCTGCTCATTATTATTAAATTGTATGAAATAAACTGAAACAGTTGCGTATTCGACTTTATTGTCTCTAATGGCCAGCATTCATTCAGTAATCATCTTACATACATAATTCATTCTATTTGATTTTTATTTATGTAAAATATTGTAAGGGACTAGACAAATAAATCAACTTTGATTTAAGTGTAGTAGAAACTTTTAAAATCATTACGATACGTTTTTAAAGTTTACTAAGTCCCGTCATAAAAAATCTGAATTTCGGACAAAGAAAGTATAAATGCTTCCCAGTCTGTGCATATACATTTCATATTAGGATATCCATAGTTCTTGGTGTACATGCACGCACACAGAAAAATAATACATTCCTAACTAAATTATCCTGAATACTAAATTGTCGAATAAAAATTAGTTGGTACTCAAAAACTTTACTTCTTTTCCTATTACAATTAAGTACTTTAAAAAAAAAAATTTCAAAGTTATACAAAGTTAACAAGCATAATAAAAATAATAAGAAAAAATAATATTTAAAGGTGAAAATAAAACCATAAAAGAAAATGTAAGTACAAAAAAGAGAAAAAAAAAATTCAAAAAAAATTTAACAATAAAACATTGCTATAAAAATGAACAAAAACAAAAACTTAAATAAAATTTATTTATTTCGGATTAGGCAACGAGAAATCAACATTTATTCTTGGATATAGTCCACCAGAGATTTTGAATTCTGATGAATTTCTACACAGATACACAATATTCATCTAATATGAAATCGTGTATGTACAATAATTGTATAGAAATAGAGAATAGGCAGAGTTCACTGTGACAACTCTGTGATACCCCACACGGATGCATTACTTTAAGGGCTGTGTGTTGCTTGTTCCATAAGTACTCCTAGTTTTTTATTCATTTATGCAAAATTTTTCACTATAATTTCAACAATTTCCATAATGTAAGACCAATTGACTTCGAAATTGTACAGCAGTTTTATCCAATTTAAATAGGGTTTAGGCATTTACAATTATAAATCATTTGCGACACTTTGTTAAAGTGAGAAAATTATAGTATTTCAGTTATCGTTTGAACGTGCGGATGCATGGACAGACGGACAATGATCAAAAATATACACCTATGTCTATATCTCAGACCAATATTTCTTATCGTTACAAACGGTGAAGCAAATTTAGTATACCATTGGAACATACTTTTGTAAGAGTATAAAAATATATTTTTAGTGCTCCTACATTTTTATTCAAATACAAACGAATATCGTTACTGGTAAACCACAAAGTAAAAAATGTTCATAAAAGAAATTTCCGTTTATATTCTAAACAATTTTATTAAAGTAGATAGAAACCCCTTAGATATTTATAAATTTCATAGAATACGTAATAAATTGTGTTTTTGAATACAAGAAAAAAAAATCAAAGTTTTATACATAATATGCCATTTGGCTGTTTTGTTTTATATTCAAAGAGCTCGAATAGATAAAAATGTTCTAAGAAAAAAAAAAATAAATTACATTTCTCGTTTTTCTTAGAAATAATGAATGTTCTGAAATATTTAAGGTCACAGTCATATAATAATACTTTAATATAAAAAGAAATATCATTATGTGGCTTGAATATGTGATTAATTTAAGTTTCTTCTCTTAAAGACAAAAAATTAATGCCATTATTATTAAAATTTTTAATTAAAACTTATTTCTGTTGCCTACCTGACCTGAGATGAGGAGTGAACGCATCTTTAAGATTTTGTCAGAATTTATTAATACTAAAATTTAATTCAAAAAACATTCACTATAAATCAAATACACTAGAACATTCATTGAATATATGAATACATACTAATTTACACTATAGTAATTCAATAACAATACAAAACAAACACAAATTTAAGATTTTAACTAAATGTAATAAATATATTCTCTTAACAGTTAACAGTAATTAAATTCACCTGATTCATATGAATCTCACATTCAAAACTAAATGTACTCATATAAAAATATTAATAGTTACATAAAAAATACCCTTAAAAATTTTATTAGGGGCAAGTATTTTCTATTTACATGCAATTCAATAACCAGGTAATTGCAACAAATACTAATATTATATTTCATAAAAAATCTATCCACATTATGCGTTGTACTATTTCAATACTATTACAATAATAATATTATAAATAATAAATTGCTTTGTACTTACTAATAATATTCCTCAGATGCTAGAACACGTTTTGCAACATCTTTTAATGGAATTAATGTTGAATTAAATTCATTAAAACAATAACTTGCATTATGACCAATAAAATTCTTTTCACGGCAAATATTATCAATTGTTGTACAGTTTTTTCTATAAAATAATTGATCCATTTTATCTCCTGTATTATTTTGCTTACAAAAATTATCTTCTAAACTGCTGTAACATTCTGTAATAAAATTAAATATTATTTTTAAATACTATATTAGAAAATGTATGTAGGTATATTTAGGTAAATCTACCTACCTTTATACATATTAAAAGCATTTAAATATTAATATTGTAATTTGTTTAGGTTTATTAAATGTAAATTATATCAAAATTCAATTATTATAGGAAATTAATGCTATAGTTTTTCTTTTAATTCATTCCGTTCCGAATAAATACTATTTTCTATTGTATTTTTCGACAATGACATTTTATTGGGAATTTGTAACACAGGGAGTCTTTATTAAGTAAGCTAGACTACGTAATGGACTAAGGTTGAGACGACATTTTAAGAATATACTCGTACAGCTTAAAGAAAAACTTTGTCAGATAATTGATTAACAGAGGGAACTGAGTGAGTAAATTCGAGATAAGTGATTATGTCGGACATCGGGGCTGAATTTATTTTACATATTGTTTAAGCACTAAAACAGTCTTCTGGCCTTCGACATCAAAAAATAGCCGGCAATGAAAATAAAAAGATAATCAAAGTAGGACATCTGTAGAAACTAAGAAAATTGTACTGGCACTATTTTTGCAAAGTAGGTCATTGCGAGAAATTGAAAAAACTTATTCAAGTGTGATAAAAATAATGAAAATTACTTAATTTTGCGAACAAACATTTTACTACATTGCAAGTTTTAATTAGTGACGAATCAAAATATTATAATATTTTTGAAGACTGTCAGACAGTAATGAAAAACTATGGGAAAGCTAAACAGAATACAATAAAGAAAATATATCTGACATTATGAAATATTTTGCAGTATTTGTTGGTATTCATTAAGGACACTATTAACAAATTAGAAAAAATGAAAAAAAAATTTTTTTGTTTTTCAACAAGACAATAACACAAAGCATTGCTGGAAAATAATTCTAGAAGCGGTGTTTTATAAGCAATTAAAAACCCCAATCACCAGGTCTTGTGGTCACGACCGAGTACTTGGGGAACTTGCATAACAGACGCATCAAAAAACATCAAATTAGTATCAGGCAGAAATTAAAGACGGCCTTATTGAGTGAGTAGGACAAAATAACGTCTTTGCAAATTGTATGTGTACTGAAATTTTTTGGAATCATAGTACATTCCTATATTATCTAGGCACTATTCTAAATTTTACTTCAAGTACATAGTTACATACATACATATAACAAATGAACAAACCCTAATATGAAATTGCAATTTTTGGAAATATTACAAAATTTTTACAATAAATATTTCTTTTATACTTTTTAAATTAAATTTATATTCATTTTATGACTTTTACAAGTAATCTATTCATAATTTAAATACAATATTGGTATTAGGAAACTATAATGTAAAAATTTTAAAATAAAATTTCATTGTCTATTATTATAAAATTCAATAATATTTATAGATTTTTGAGGTTTCTTCCAATGAAAGATATTATTCAAATTTAATAACAGATGCGATTAAAATTTTTGGAAAATTTTATTCTCTATGAAAGTCTATGAAATTGTAATTATTATTTTCAATTTAATAAATACTTTTATTCTACTTTTAAAATAAGAAAATTTGAAAAAAAGAGACAATTAAATAATATTCTTGTTGTACATTTTGTATGTGAAACAAGGATTTTTTATAATATATAGGAAAAATATCATATAAATGTACTTACGATATGAATTAAAATCATTGTTACAATAGCCCCATGGTAATACACTTGTAAATGATGCAAAAAAGTAAAATAAAATCCATGCAATAATCACCATATAATAGATTGTAACAAATGTAATGACTATAAGTGTACAATAACCAAGACCTATAATAAAAAATTGAAATAAATTTAATTGACAATTTATTAAAATATCGTAATATAAGTGTAGTAATTTAATGTAATACGATTATTAATCGAAGAAACATTATATTTTAAAAGAATGATATGTCGGATGTACTATTTATATCAATTGCAATTTGGAAATAATATCAAAATAAAAAATTGTTTTTAAAATAGTAATTAGTATTTAGTAGGTTGTAACTCAAATATGCAAAAAAATTTTGAAATTAAAGCAAATCAATCGCGTTTTTCCAAAAAAAAGAACTGAATTGAAATGATCGGGATAATTAATCTATTAAAAACTTTCGAATACATAGTCAATTAACATATGATTGTCATGAAACAAAAATATTTTTCATCGTACAAGAATCATATTTTATAACATCACAGTCCATTAAAATCTTCCGTAAAGAAAATCAAACCATTATACTTGGTCTCATAATTATACAACCCATACAACGTTATTTAAAATTAAACTAAAGTTAAAGGAAATGGAAAAAATTTTTTGAATTGAATTACACCAAGTTAAGATCAAATTGGGTGCAAAATGAAAATTTACGCGACAATATTGATTATAGGCTAAACACGTAATTTAAAAAATTTTATTTTGATAACATTATTTTCTTACCTTGAAAGAAAGGCGACATATAATGATAAGCTTTTATTGGTCCAAGACCTGAATACTGTCCAATGTATAATTCAGCTAAAAATATTGGTAAACCAATTACGAACACCATAAGTAGATACGGTACTAAGAACGCTCCTGTAAATTAAAATTTAATTAATTAATTTTAAAATTGAATTGTGGAAGGTAGATTGTATAGATTATAGATTATAGAGGCGGAGTAACAGTGCACCGCGACTAGCATAAAAGTATCTATAGTGCTAGATCACTAGGTTTTGGATACGCTCCTACAACACCTCCTCCAGACCCTTTCTTCTGATAAATTCGAATATCTTGAGAGGTCTGCCGAGAGGACCGCAGTTGCGCCGAAGTGAGCGTGTAGTTCCCCAGTATTTCCCTTCTTCTGCGTGTGAGGAACCCACAATCCCCCATTGTGGAAGATAACAAAGTTTATATAAATATATTTCTTTTTTCTATTAGACAATTCGTGGAAGGATTCAAATCTTAATTGAATTAATAAACATATTATCCAAAAAATCTTGCTCATTCCTAACACACGCAATCTTTATCACTTCTATGAAGTTCTAATAAAAATCTAAATACGTTTTGAGAATTAATTTGTATGTATAAAATTCTAAAAAGAATTTTTTTAATTATGTCCAAATCCTCTAACCTTCTTTTTAGTAGTTGCAAATTATTTACTGGTATTTTTTTAGTTACCTTTATATGTCGTTCTTACTCGTAAAGTATAGTGCTATAAAGACTTTTCCAATTTATATCTTTTTTTTTCAATTAAATACTTTTGAGTGCATGAGCATTAAATATTTCTGAATATTTTAAATTTAAAGCATTTTATAACTGAAAGTATCTGTGAGGCTCGATGTACCACACCAACAAAATTATATTATAGATACGAGTATAAAATGTTACATAATATACATACCTCCACCATTGCGATAAACTAAATAAGGAAATCGCCAAACATTTCCTAAGCCAACAGCATAACCAATACATGCTAAAATAAATTCAATTGGATTTTGCCAATTTCCACGATTTTCTCCATCTATGATAGTAGTGCCATCAGGTACACTAGTAGATTTTCCATTTTGTTCAATGGAATTGCCTTTATTTAATGTTATTAATGATGGTTTTGATGATATAGGTGTCGTTGTTTTTACAACTGAACCATTTGAATTGACTGATCGCCTTGAACCATTTGACAATATTGAATTTTCCTATAAAAGTAAACAAAAAAAAAAAATAGAAAAAAAAATTAAATATTAGAAAAAAAGCTTAAAGTATTACCAAAAAAAAAAACAGGAAATGAGATAATGGAAGACCTATAAAATAAAAAAAAACTGAGTGTATTTGGGTAAATTGAATTTTATTGCGCTTTTTAAAAGGATAATGAAATTCGTTTCTGTAAGGCCTATTTAAAACCTTATTAGGCAAACTTAGGAAGCTAAAATAATGTCATATTAATTGATTAAGAGAGTATTTTTAGAGCAGCAACTTTATAAGTAATTAAAAGGTCTGCGTAGCTAATTCTGCAATTCTATGTTTTCTATATTTTAAAAATAGTGCTGTGAAATATTTGTACATCCTACTGGAATTAGTTTCAAAATAATTTTTTTTGTAACTCATTCACTTTATGAGTTTCAGCCAACCGAAGAAATAATTTTCAGAAAAAAAAAAATTCAAATGCAAACCAGGATTAAAACAAGCCCCATATTGTCTGTTAATCGAAAATATTAGTATATCATACATAATATCTATAATATACATTAACACAAATTCCATTAACCTGTCACATATTCAATGTAATGAAAGGTTTCCTCAATTTCCTAATGAATATTCTTGGTAATTCTTTAATATTTTAACATATTTTAATTTCCACATTTTAGCAATCTAAGACTATAAACCAGCAATATTCAATTAAGGAAGTCACCTGTTTCTTTCACACATTCTATTCAACTAGAAATAATTTTAATACAATTCCAAACACAAACAATTCTTTCATCATATTTTATATAAAGTCTAAATTTAATGTCACTCCCAAATAGTTTTGATAATTTATGCGCCAAACAAAAATTTTTTTCAATTCAATCAACTGAACTTAAAATCCAAATAAAAATATTTTCTTTTGGAAATAAAAAATATTTAGAATTTCTAAAATTGAACTATTTTTCGAAATATTTTCACAATATCAATAACAATTTTTTAAAATTTAAAAATCCTCTGATGACTTTACGTTTTGAAAATATGAACTCTCAAACAAAAATAAGCGGAAACCGGAAAATATTATTGAAATACAAAAAAAAATAAAAACAAAATGTAAAACAAACCTTCCAAAAATGCAAAAATGGGTGTAATTCAGTTAAATTGAATTATGATAGAGTCAAAAATAAAAATAACAAAAAGAGAACATACTTCAAAGCTGAAAAAACAATTACATATCCTTTTTTTTCCATTACAATATACGCTCACTATTCGAAACAATGCAAACAAAAAAAAAAATAAGTGTCCAACTGGAATTTGAATTGTAATCCTAGTTACTATCTAAATCTAAAATTCCAAAATTACTGTTAAACCTACTCTGTTAGTAAACAATCTAAAAATATTACAAATGAAAACAATTTGATAATCTCTACTCTAAGGTATCGAAACCTTAACAGCACATGAATTTGAACAAAATTCATTTCAAATAATCATTATAAGAATTGCTAGTTAAAAATATAGGTTTTATCAAAAGAGGTAAAGGGCTCATTGTTTACAGTTTCAATTAATAAAATTTAAATTAAATTCAAATTAGGGATTTTCCAAATAGATATAAAGTACTTATAAGATTTTCCAGAATTTTGAGCGAGTTTGTAAAATTAAAAAACTGGAAGATCTTTAAGGCTACTGATTTCTTCCCTTATTCTTTTATTTTATTCAATCCTGTTTACTTTGTTTCTGAAATAAATCAAACAAACACAGCAACTAACCTATTAAGCAGTTTTATAAAAACATGTAGATCTTAATAAAATAATTTCTGGCATGTTAAAGTTTAAAACTTTAAAAACATTACAAAATGGCCGACAAAATCAAATTAACCTTTAAATGTGAAACTTTTTTATAAAATGGAAATAGATCACATAGAATAAAAATTAGGAAAACAAAAAAACTAGGCATCAAAAATGAAGATTATTCCTCGCGGATTCTTTTTTTCTTCCATTATGTTTTGGAATTTTTCAAATATTCAGCGGCATGTTATCCTTATTTTTTATTCCTAAATGTCGACAAAAGACCAGGAAAAAAACTATACGAGTATAACATATTTTTTCCGTTTTTTTTTTTCTAATTTTTAGAAAGCCGAATATTTTTTTGCCTTTTTTTTTAAGTTTGCATTTGCATTTTAGATGATTTTTCGTTGTTTACTACCAACTCAGAAGAACGAAATAAAAAGAGAGAAACAAAAAAAATTTTGATTGATTTGTAAATAAAACTATCAAGGGACAGATAGAGAGAAACATCCGTTTGTTTACGGAAATACAAAAATTAAAAAACCAAAAACTTATTGTTAAACTCAAAATACCGAAAATTTTTTTGCAATTTTCTCGACAATTTTAATACAATTAGATGGTAATAATTTAGTTATTATTTCTAGTGAATTATTATGTACAGCAATCACAGTAATTGATTCTAACCTAAAATATGCTACCTGGCTAATAGTAGACATTGAGAGATATATTAGAGTAAAAAGTCATTATTTCGAATGCAGAATTCTAAACTGGGAAGGGCAAAACAAATAAAGTAATTCTTATAATTTAGATTCTATTTAAAATTTTGAAATTGTGGAACAATATTTTATTAATTTGCCCATTTCTAATTATTGAATCTAATATTTGTTACGCTTTTTGGTCTTTTTAAGCAACAGCAAAATTCAACAGTTCAGAATAAGATCCACATAAGCTTTAGAAAATGGCAAAATTTTAGAAAAATTATTTTACAATACTGGCACTCCAAAATATATATATTCTAATATTCTACATTATAATTACCAAGAAATAAAAATCTATAATACAACATTAAAAGAATCTGAAGTTGAGAGTTTGAAAAGCAACCCGGTGGCGACATTTTTTTTCCTATTAGATTTTGGGTCAGATTCAAATGTTAAAAAAAAAAAAACAAATTTTTACAAATTTCAATACAGAAAATATTTATGCAAAAATGCAAAAATAAAAAAGGGGGGTGGTAAATGTTTATTTTGAGTACGATACGGTGGCTTGTATTTTGTGTAGCTATCAGAAAACTAAACATTACCATAAGCAATTTTGTTTATTAGAAATTTAAAGAACAACAAAAATATTTCTTTTACTGTTTCTCTTTGTTTTTTTTTTCGTTATAGTGTTAATTTTTTATGCAGTGTGCTGTTGACAGATAAAGACACTGAAAGAGAAAAAAAAATAATTGTTAGTTTCAATCTTTTTCTAAGTTGAAAGGAGATTTCAGTCAAAAGTTTTTACTTTTACTCTTTTTTAAATGAAATTTTATTTGCTTTTGATGTTTTTTCGTTTTTTCTTCCAAAAAAAACAAATCAGACCTAGAACCTGTCAGTCATATATGCTTTTTATTTTTATTCCAAAAGGGTAAAAAAAAAGACAATATTTACAATGAAGTTTTAACTTTTGTATACACGAGCCAAATGAAAAAAAAATATGGAATCCTATTTCTAGTTTATGTAACTAAGGAAGATAGTAAAAGTTTATTTATTTTTTTTTTTAGAAATCTAAATACCATGGACGCGTTTATATGCGTAGGACAGGACATAAGTTTTGATTTTGTAACAACGATCAAAATGAAAAATAAATCAGTTGTTTTTTTTGCCCATATTTTTTTTTTTGAAAAATTTACAAAAATATTTTTTGTTTGTTATATAAGGATAACAATTACGATATTATAATACGATATACAACAAACTTCTCAATGATTCTTGCACTTAAGAACAGTAAATCTTCTCTATTGTGACAAAAGGATTTTATACAGAACTGAATAAATAAAGTAAATACAAAAGTAGATCTTTTAAGTTTTAGTATACTTGATTCTGTTCTTCCTCAGAATCAAAAACCTGAAAGTATTAAAATAGACATGAAACAAAATGTATGGCTAGAAATATTAAAATAATTAAACTGCTTTCAAAATGATCATTGATCGTTTTGATATATATCAAAAATGGACTTTAAATATTTAGCTAGAATATTGGATTAAACTTCGCAAAGATTTAAATTATCAAATTTTCGTGCAGATTCAGATTTTTGCACTCTATTAAACTTGGAAATGTCTAAATGGTTATTGTAAGCTTTTTTATCAAAGTTAGTATATAAATGAAGCTTGTACAAATGATTTTATACAAAGGAACGAGTAAGTATAATTTAAAAATTATCGAAGTTGATGAATTTTTTCAATGTTATCTATTCGAGTTCAAAAATTTAATAGATTCCACGTGTTTTTTCTTTTTCATACGCCTGATAGAAAGAACAAAGCTAACAAATTTATAAAATATTAATTATAAAAATTCCATTAAACCAATTAGTAATTTTAATGAAACATCATTGAAAATTCATTTATTAATTCAATTCCTTTTAAAAATATTATTTTATCATATAATTTGAGAAAAACAATAATAATAAAAGAAAAAAATGATAGAGAAAATGTTGAAAAACAAATTCATTAAGCATATCAATTGATTAATTTTCTTTTCCTTTTTGTAAATGAAGAAATTGAAAATTAAGAAATCGACAAGAAGAAATAAAAAACGGAATACGAAAGAAAAAACAAGCTGATGAAAATCTTTTAAGAAAATGAAAAATAGGAAACGAAAATATTATTTTACACATACACACACATACGTGTATATAAAATATGCCCTTTTAGAATAATTTTTTACCGACCGTATTGTGTAAACAATAGGTAGGTTATGTGATGGCAACAAATTTTGCATATCGAGTTTTCGGTGAGAACGTACTTCTCCATAGTAGGGAAGTATAAATAAACTATTTTTAGCAACCTGTCGGTCTGTCGGTCTGTCCGTCTGTCGGTCTGTGTGTGCACGCGTGTATCTCAAGTTCGGCTGAACCGATTTTGATGAAATTTTATATGTAAGTTTGTTTCCACCATGGGACGGATCGATCAACTTTTGGTATATATCAGGCCTCGGGAACTGCACTTTTTAGCGGGCCTGTTTTACATTTTT